CCCGCCGCCTGCGCCACGTGCACCGAACCCTCCCCCGTTCCCGCCATGCATGAACACGCACGCCAAATAGTTTGAAACGTATCACTTTGCGGCTGTTCAATATCGGCTCGCTCCTGGAGCGCTGTCATCAATCGCGCCATCAATATGGAAATACCGCCGCGTGACCCAGGCATTAATCAATGGGCTCCTCGGGGAGACGGGGGGGGGGGGGGGGGGAAAAAGCCCCGGGGCACCTAAAATCCTCAATGAAAAGGATCGGCCCCCAATCGGGGTCAAAAAGTCCGGATTGAAAAAAACATTTCCCCCTGTAACGGGCCCCGGGCCCCCGGGCCCCGAGGGGGAATCCGCGGCCCCATCTGAATTTAATCCCCGCCGCCGCAACTGCTCCCAGACCCGGAAAAACACGGGTGAACGGAACTACCTGCGTCGACTCGCCATAAGAGAGCGCGCTCTCCCTCTCTCCCCCTTTTTTTTCCTGAAGAAGTGTCCCCCCTTCTCTCGGTCTACCTCACAACTTTTGTGGCGGTTGTTGTTGTTGTTGTTGTTGTTTGTCGGGTCGTGCATCGCTCTAAAGGACCACATCACGCGTCTTAAATGCAGAGAGCACCGATGGCTTCAAATTAAATTCTTTGTCTTTATTCCGAGGCTCACTCTAGCGAGCGCGCCCCCCCCCCCCCCCCATCATCATCATCCTCCTCCTCCTCCTCCGCCCCGCACGCTCTCTGGAGTTCAGTCAAAGCCATTTCCTCCAACTTCAAACCGCGCGAGCGGGGGAGCGGAGCTCCATATCAATGAGACGCGTCTCCGGATGCGCGTTTCACGCAATTCGGCTCGGTGCGAGGGCGTGGATTAAAGCGGCGTGGATGCGGCCACCTCTGTGTGTAGAGACTTCCAAACCTTAAACCCAGGAGCGGATTATGTCGACGCCCCCCCCCCCCTCTCCTCCTCCTCCTCCTCCTCTACCCGGCCGAGCGATGGCTGTATCCGGGTACTTTGTGGGACAATTCCGCCCCCTAGTGGCGTCTCTGCGTACGCACAAGGGAAAAAGCAGGAGATGATTGTGCTTTATTCTCTTGTCTCACTTTTTAATTAGTTATTAACTGTCGTATCCCTGACGACCCCCGAGTGGCTTCATCCCCACGCTGGCCATTAGATCAAACGTTGACGATCGCCATGTTTGACTTCCAATCAACTCCCACACCACTCACTCCCTTGTGACACCTCTTAAAGGTTAGAGTTCAAGGGTTGTGTGTCCTGTCTGCCCTTTTCACTCGCCCCTCTATCGCCGTGGCCCTTTTCTTTTTTTTCTGTCGGCGCCAGAATGGAGAGATGCACCACAAAGGTCATGGACATGGATTTCCTTTGGTTTGACTCAATGAAAAGGTCAGACGAGGGCACCGTGAAATGGCAGTGAGGCCTTCGCGTTGGCCTCGCAGGGACCCAAGTCCTTGGGCTACATCGCCCGGAAAATGGCACAGGCGGAGCCGGCGCCCCCCCACGCACCGTCCCACCCAAAAAAGAGCGGAGGCCCTTGTGGGCCACTGTGATCTCATCTGAGTGGCCCCTGAGTGGCTAATGTGGCCCTTCAACCGTATGCACAGCAAACAGACAAAACATGTGGTGGGATTTTGTCAATCTGGGTGGAACTGAACTTTTCAGAGCATTTTTAAATGAACATTGCTCTTTAATTATGCGAGTCCTGACGTCTCTGTATCAACAGATCGGAGCTACAGTGTGTTTCAATCCTCCAAAGCAGCTGCAAAACTGTTAGTAGAGTGGCGTTAATCTGAAGGAACGTGAGATGCCAGATTCCTGCTGCTCACATCAAGAGTCCTGTAACTTAGATAAAAAACATCTGCAAAAAGGATGTTGGGTAAGTAACTTATCAAGGGGTTTAGGTGTATATAGAATCAAAAATCTGCCTGTTGGATGTGGGGTTTTTTTAAACCAATGTATCAAGCAAATTGGTTTACAAAATCCCGGTTTATTGCACAATAGCTACGGCACGTCTCAATCACACACTCGGATTATATTGTTTCATGTTTTTCTATCAGCAATTCTTTTTGCAAGATATATATGAAGACACAGCATTTTTTACACATTTAAGAATTTAATGTTCTTAATCTTAATCTTCTAAAATAGACCTTTTTTTTCAAGCCTGTAAATTAAAAAAAGGTAAAAATACAATGCAAACTTATTTGATTAGATTTATATATATTCCCTCACAGAAAATGAGATAAGAGGTATCATACAATATAATCAAGAATTAAGTGCATTAAAGAGGCTGCTCAGGATTTCATCACAGTGTAAAAAAGAGACAGGAAGCAGTAGTTTTACAAGATTTGATTTATTAACTATGATACAGATCACATAAGGCCTTGCTGTATACACCATTCCCATTGAGACAAATTACCATACTCAGCAAATAATGACAGTTTTTTTTGTTTGATGTTATCTTTCACTTTACAGTACTTCATTTATTTTTTATTATTTTCTTTTCTCCCATTATTTCTTTATATTTGTTTATCATCATCTTAAATAGTGAGAGTTGTGGAGCCCTCTTCCGTGGTTGGGAAGTAATCATGCACTATACTGGGCTGCTCTCTCAATCGTTCACAAAGAAATTGTTAAAAAAAAAGCTTTGTATTTTTTAATTATTAAAATAAAACGTAAAAAGGATTTTTTTCTATCACCACTGACTAAAGGGCAATGTGTTAGACCCCCTAACATACCAATAAACAACCATTTGAATATAGTTTTGCTTGTTTCTCATTTTAACTTAACAGACATCGGTCACCATTGTTGCAAAAAAAAAAGAAAAGAAGAAAAAGCCACATATCGCTGAACCAAAGTCACATTTTTAATTCAATTGTTCTTCTAAACTGTCACTTTGCTTCCCATCTCTTTCTCGACCCTTTTTTCCCCCCACACAGTCTTTGGCTGCCTCACAGTCAGTTCAGTATTAACACATTGATATACACAAGGAACGCCACTGGCGGGCGTTCACACACACACACACACAAGTACCAGTGGTCTCCCCCCCTTCCTCCCTCCGTCTCCCATATAATGATCCCATTCACCCTTTTGCTGCCTGTCTTTCCTCCCTCTAACCCCCCCAGCTCTCCTCCGTGTCTCCCACACTTTCAGCGGATCAGTGTGTGTAATCTGGACGAGCTAACAGGGTTACACAGCGGGGTACTGACCGCAAGGAGAACTGCATTCCTCTCCTTCACGTTTATTTGGATCACACGGGTGTCTGGCCGACTCCAGAGCATGTTCGCTCGAATTCACCCGACCAAAAACATGTTCATGATTCCTCTACCCTCTAATCCCCCCCCCCCCCCCCCCCACACACACACACACAGGAAGTAGGGAGTGGTGACTTCTAAAGTTCCTTTAAAAGTTCAGTGATTGGTTAAAGGTTTTTGTTTTGGGCAGAAGACAGTCTGGGGAGACGTGCAGAGATGCAACTCTGTGTCAAAGAGAACATGTGACCTCGGTAGGTATCTGCTTAACATTGAGACACGCATAAGTTCACACGCGTGGGCAACTTCTCGAGCTCACAGGGACACATGTTTGCGCGCACACACACACACACACACACACACACACACACACACACACACACACACACACACACACACACACACACACACACACACACACACACACACACACACACACACACACACACACATTATAAGCTGATTTGATTCGGCGAGCATCATCGCCCAGCCCCGTCTCACTGGTTTCTACGGTAACAGCAGGCTGGGCAGAGGAATTCTGTGATGCTCCGTTCCAGTCATGCAGACGGATGAATGGACTGTCTGTTCTGACCGCGGTCTCTCCCAGAACTAAGTGTCCCTCTTGGACAAGGACCGACTAGGCGATGCAGTGGCATAACAAGGCGATGGGGGGGGGGGGGACCCTTGCAAATTTATATTTTGAGTGCATTGACAGCAAGTTTGAGACTCCCTTCCAGAGGTATCGTTCTGTTTCCTAAGAGGGCAGCGTGTTACTTCCAACAATAAAACGCCTCCTTTCCCAGCGGTCAAAACCCAGGCCTCATTTCTAGCGCTTACTCTCCGGGCTACATTTTGCCTCAATGTCCCAAATCTTTATATGCAACCACTGGCTGGCTGACTGGATGGCTTAGAGCGCGGTGAAGTGTAAACTAAAAAGACAAGACAGCCTAAATCTAGTTAATCTCAGTTGATTTGTATCCGATTTGAAACTGCAGTTTATTTTTAGTCAAATTCTTACACTTGAGCTCTAAAAGTTGATGATAATCTTTTTGCAGTTGCATCTGACACTAAAACCACAGCAGTATGTGGAAGTCAGGTTTTGGCTGCAATACCCATTTCATCCTACAGATGTCAGCGGTGAGCTGCCAGAGACAGAGGAAAGCCGGTGGACTGACAGTAAAGTGAACGGTGGCTGTCACGTCATAGCAGCTCCAATTTTAAATGTGCCTTCAAAGTGCTCAGAAAGTGCTTTTTGAACAAGGTCCTCACTGGAAACTGCAGAACCGGCTCGCTCGTAAAACCACCACAGCGTGAGAGAAGCAACATGACAGGCGAAGATCTGACAGCGTAATTATTGCCACTATCTGTCGAGTACAGGGAAATCCAGGTGAAACAAAAGGGCATGGATACATGCGCACACAGACATGTAGACTCTCACGCAAAAACGTATACACACACAAGGCCACGCATTGAGTGACGGGTGTTTTCCCACGATTTTGTCTAATGAAGGACAAAATAAAAATATTTTGGGACAGCGGGAATGCAGAATCAAGATTTAGACCAATACATTTTGCCACTTTTGAATGTTTTTTTTTTCCTTCTTCATGTGTTTACAAAGACAGTGCATGAGGTTGAAGTTAAAACAAACAGAGAGAGAGCAGCAGGAGACTGGGAGGAGCCTTCCCAGAATGCAAAGGGTGCGAGCACCCATAATCCTCTGCTCCAGTTCACTGTCTAGCAGATCCGGTCTGTTGAGATTTTGTTTTTCCCGTGCTTGGCATAGTGCCTCAATTGAAACTGATTGTGTGTGTGTGGATGCGTGTCTGTGTGAGGGGCTGATGGACAGGAATGTGTGTGTGTGTCGCAGAGGACAGAACATCCTGTCGGGTGGGTAGTAACACATGTTTTTTGCCCAAGTCCTCTGTACAGCAGCCAAATGAACAAACGTGCTTTAAGGACCTCCTCTCTGCTCCACCGTGACACTGCCACAGCCCCCCGTAGGTAGAGGATGAGGGCGTGTGGCGAAGGAAGCGGCCACAAGGACTCCCAGGACAGCTGAGGGGTTAAGGGGGTTGTCGGAGGCACGCTGGCCACCGAGGGGGGTTTTTCGTCAAAGTGTTTGCGTTACGTCTGTGGTGAAGCAATCACAACGTTGCAGAGTTCACATTCGACTTTCCAATCTACTCCAGAGTCCCTTTATCAGTTACTGGCCACAGTGCACTAGTTAGTGTGTAGGTTCTCTATAAGGCAGGGGCAGGTCTAGGTGCAGTGACACTGAGAGACAGAAGGGTGAAGTGGCGAGACGGTGGAAAGATCACACTACCAGTTCAGTGTTCCCCATGTCAGCCTCGTGTGTGTGTGTGTGTGTGTGTGTGTGTCCTTTTTTCTAAAGTTAGCAGAGGCTCAAACGCCCTCTTCTTCTCCCAAGCGCATCGGTTTCTCCCTGTACATACTGCATCTCACTCAATCCCTCCCAACTTATCTTCCTACCTCCGGTTCTCGATTTAAATTTTTCTTCTTCAATTCCATTCCCCAACTTCAAAATCTCTGATCCTTAAACCCTTAAATCTCATCATCCCGTCTTCGTTTTTTTTTCCTTCCCTCCTTCCCTTGATCCCTGGTTCACAGCGTGTGTTGTTCCGTAGGCGGGTGGTGGGGGTGTAGGGAGGGCGGCAGCAGGGCGGGGATGGGGGACTGGGGGGTAACAGGTGGGGAGTGGGGTGGGGACTGATGTGAAAGGTGGTGTTGGTGGTGGTGGTGGTGATGGTGGATAGGAGGGCCGTAGTGCGGAATGACTGGCGGGGTGGCCGGTAGGACATAGGGAGCCGGGGACGGAGTCGGCGGGGAGGAGTAGCCTCCGGCCATGCAGGAGTAGGCCGAAGTCCCTCCCCCGGAGGAGAGCGTGGAGGTGGGGGAGCCGTGGAGGCCGTCGGCCAGCGGCTGATTGTAGAAGAAGTACGCGCACTGGTGGATGAAGCTCTCAATGATTGTCTGGTAGGTGCGGGTGGCGGTCAGGGCGTCCATGGTGGTGAAGTCTGGTCTCATCAGTGTGGGCCAGAAACAGATGGACAGGTTCTCGCTGGTCATAAGGTTCGACTTGTTGTTCTGGTTCACCCTGCGCAACACAAACAAACCAAAAAGGTGAATTAAATGGGCCACAAATCACCACAGTTCACAAAAAAAACACCTATCGTCTTCCATGGCTTTGTTTGAAGGAGGTAAAAGTGATCTAATATTTGTGTTGGTTGGGAACCACTATATAGTTTTTGGAGCAGAGTCGTCCACAACATACAAATAAAATCCATTTTGCAATCACCCATGAGGGATGTAGCCACTATTCTGTTTCGTGTGCTGGTTTCGGTGATGTCACTGCTACGTCACTTGACCGGCGGGTTTACTCAGCACTGTCGGAGGCCCACTTTGACCCTGTCCCACACTCACTTGTTCAAGTGGCTGGCGACATATTTGAAGACCTCGTAGTTCTCTTTGGGGAAGCGGCGCAGGATGTCCTTCATCGTCTGGAAGCGCTGCTCCCTGTCGTTGATCTCTGAATGGTGGCAGAGAGAGAAGATGGATGTTAGCGGAGGGAGGAAAGTGTCTCGAAAGAAGAGATTAAGGGAATCTATGGGAAAGACGTCAGGGGAGTGTTAAGATGAGGAGCGCTCGGTGGAGAGGGAGAGCGGGCGGAAGAGCAATACAATGGAGAAGAGTTTTAGGAGCACGGGGAAAGCTATTGGATTCAGCTCCCCAAAAAAAACGACCAAAGAAAAAACAAAACAGTGCAGGACAAAGTTAACTCAGCTTTCAGTTTCATGAAAAGTCATGGAAACATACACATTCAAAATGAAAATGAAGTTACATTTCAAAAAAGAAAGAAAATAATCAGACAGCCACACATTCCATAGGAGCATAACATCACAATGTCCTACAGCACACAGCAACTCGCACACAAACACACACTGGGTGTGCAAAGCCTGATGGCAGCGAGGAGTGAGTCAAAAAAAGCTGACGTCACCGGCTAACAGTCCATCCTGCGTGTGTGTGTGTGTGTGTGTGTGTGTGAGCGAGGCAGAGCGCGCAGCAGTGGGAACAGCAGATGTTCTCGGCCACATCACAACCATGATTTACAATCAGAGAACTTGGTTTTGTATTCCCACAATGAGGTCAGTTTGGATCAAAAACAGATTTCATGCGTAATGACTGAACGCGGCGCCAGTTCCTCCGGCTGTACGTCCATCATCGGCAACCAAAACATAACTCGCTACAGCTTATTTAAAGTAACGTCACCATGACGGCGTGCAGCCGCCCAGCTTTTTTGCACTCACTTTCTCCACCACTCACGCGTGAAGCAAAGAAAATGCAGACTATTTTAGACCGAACGAAGGTTTTCGCGTTGCTAAACTTTTCCCTCTGTTGTTGCACGGACCGCGGAAGCTTCATCGGGTCTCTCTAACGGCTCAAGAGGCTCTCTGGGGCCGTTAATATAAATAAATAAATAACACTCACAGAGCTCAGGGAGTGACAGTCACTTTGCGGCGGGGGGGGGTTAAATCTCTCCGCCCCGATGCAAGACTAAGCTACGCCTTAAATCTCCATTCCAACAGATTACAGGACACAAAGAGAAAAGGAGAGGCGGCGGAGAGCTCAGGAGCACCCTGGTTTGTCTTTCTTATGAATTCATTAGATCAGCGCCGTCCGCGCTGCTCCCGCATCCCTTCAGCATGTGCAATCGTCCCAAAATGCTCCTTCCTCAAACCTGACACGTCTACTCCTCCATCCCCTTTTTACATCTCTGTTTTTGCAGAGGCGAAGGACTTACTGAAGGCCTCCACCAGCTCTCCCTGCATGTTGTACGGCACCAGAGGCTCGGGTAGCTCGGAGAAGAAGGCCTTCATTGCTCCGGCCACTGTGTTCATGGTGAAGTCTTTCTCCACCAGGTCCAGGTTGTGGTCTGGAAAATTGAAATAGGAGGAAGTTAAAAACACATCACAATTTGACATGCACACAGTAAATAAAAGAGGCGGCTTCAATGATATGATTCAAAGATATATTAATAATAATACTGAACTCACTAAAGCATATTTAACAGCATGGTGGCTCTTCAATTAATAATTCAATCAATAGAGAGTGAGTGCGTGCAAGAGACTTAATTAAAAAAAAAGTCATTTTCAGATAAGGTTTTACTTTACGAAAAAGGCAGTACGTGCAGAAGGACGAGGCGCTGGGAAAAAGTAACACAGACACAGTTATGGAACAATCCGAAGAGCTTCTGATGCTGCGCTCTCCTGTGGCGAGATATCTGAAACGTCGGGGTGGTGGGGGGGCGATGAAGTGCCATCTTCAGTATGGCGACGAGACGCCCTTGCTGTGGTTTCACCTGCGATGTCTTGTCCCGTTGGCCCGGAGGCTCGGGATGATTCAACGCGGGGCTTCAACTCTGATTACCTGAGTTGGATTTGAGGCTCAACCAGGCGTGGACGCACTCATACACAAGCCATCTCGCTCTGCTATCTATCTCGGCTGCGACATGGTTCATTAACCAAACCAATCTGGAGGTAATTAACTGCCCACAGCAGATAGACAGACACACACACACACACACACCACACACAGGAGACGGTTGATGATAGAGGAGGAGGCTCTGCAGTCTAAGAGGAAGTGAAGGCCAATTCCCTGTGTAGAATTGATGCTCCCCGGTTAATTAAGGGAGCAGAGGTTTTAGATGGAAGCAGACACACATACATACACGTGTCTTTGTGACCTTTCTGCGCAGCTTGTAAGTGTGTAGCTGAAGCAAGAAGGAGAATGTGTACGCTTGTAGTGTAGGTCGGACGTGACGTACCTTGGTCAAATTGCCGCTGCATGCTCTCCATCTCTGCCTTGTTCCCGCTGACCCTGTAGAGCCCCTCTGTGCTCAACCCTGGGAGGGGGGGGGGGAGAAATGTCAGTATCAGAATGTTCTTTCCATGTGTTTAATTAGCAAATATCAAATATTTATAGTAGCTGGTCAATCACTACCAAGAAGTATTTGATGTATCACTATGCTGCTTATAGATGCACTCTGAAGGCTTTAAACGGCAGAGCCGCTCTAATGGCCTCTCCCAATGTCCCCGTCCATCTAGACACACTATTAGTGCTATTTATTAAACCCATAAAGCACTCCTGCAGGCCTGCTAAGAGCCCTGGTGCACTGCGACCAGCTGAGGCCACCTTTGTAGCCACACACTCTTTAAAATTACTTGAGGAACTGCAAAGGCCAACTGCCACCTTCATCGCTGGAGGATGAATACTCTGTTATTACGTGCCGCCTTTCTTTAGACATTAAAGAGTCAAATTGCATCGATACCAACTGAAAGGCAGCAGAGAGGTTTTGTGGCAGAAAAACACTTAAATTAGCCAGTTTAAGCTCTTGTAATGCTAATTTACTTCAAACAGTGTTTATATTTAGAGGTGTGATGCATCTGACGAACGAGGAGGAGAGACGAATAGGAAACATTCGGTGTAGAATATGTGGCACCGTTTAACCCAACACAGACTACCGGTACATTAAGAGGGTTACAGACAACCATCGAATAGCTCGGACAGTAAAAACACGCACGATCTAGCAATGAAGAAAACAGCAGCATATCAAAAGATGCTTATAAAAAGGGGGGCGACTTAACTAGAGCTCTCTATCCATCACTGAAACAATACATATGCACATGAGGTTAGTTTCCAAACAAATCTGCATTAGCGTTTCTCTAGCTTCTTGATTCAAAATGTCCTGTACGTTTTAATACTTGTGGCTCACACCTCGTCTTAGGCTGAATTATACAATTAGTGTTTACAGCAGTAATACTTAATACTCCTTTTACTCTAATAATCTAATAGAGCGGACAGTATTAAAGCTTTAACAGCCAACAGATATTTCCCACTCTGGAACGCCTTTACACCTTTTGTTGAGCTGACAACCACTGACAAGGCTAATATGTACTATCGTGCTATATAATTTTCCTTTTACGGGAAAACGGAAGCACAATAGCATTTTCAAAAGGGTGCACCCTTCAAAATAGTTGAGCAGAAATCACGTCTTCTACGACTCAGTCAGTTCTTATTTTGCATATCAGACATATTACAGTAAATTAATACTCCCCGAGTACAGTAGCAGTCGTGCTTTGCACAAGGCCTAATCTTTAGTATTTTCGCAATACATCCAGGTTTTCAGAAATGAAAAACAAAGTCAAAGTGAAAGGCGCATTGATCACTCACTCACTACATTTTACTATTTTTCCAGTTTATTTAAAGATAAGGTTCCAACTTCCCGCCCTTGAAAAATCTCTCTTTGTTCACACTTTGGAGATTCAGAGAGACAAAGAGCAATCCAGAGGGAGCGAAGGAGATAAGGAGTGGCAGAAAAAGAGGGCGCGATAGAGGCAGCGAGGAAATGAGAGAGCTCTCAGTCAAGGCATGAGGGTATCGACCCTCCCCCCCCCCCCCTTCTACCAATCAATTATCCACAAAAGCTTTTCTAGCCAGACACTAGGAAAACAGGGATGGGACCAGAGATAGGGAGAGGGGAGTAGTGCAGCAGTGGTGGGGAAAAGGGAGCGCGAGTTAGGGTGGAAAAAGAGGACAAACACCCAAGTATGAGATCGATTGGGGCGAGAGGAGCGTGAGGACGCATAAGAACGAGGGTCCGGACTGATGAAAGAGAATGAGGAATAATAAAGGGGGTTAAGACAAGGAGGGATATATGAATCAAAACAATACAGCACGTCAAAGATGGAGGTTGCAGGAGAATGAAAAGAGTGGAAGAGCAAACACAAGTGTTGATGAAAGGTGAAGTCTCAAAAAAAACAAAAAAACAGCATCTTTTCCCTCTGAGGTCAAACAAAACGTCCGTGCTTCCTGGCGTCCATGTGGGTGGGATCTCTGCCGGTGGCAACAACATTTATTTTAAGTCAGAAAATGGAGCATCAACAGATAACCTTTTAATTATTCATCTCTACTACACTTCATACCAGGAGATATGAATCATTACTGTTATCAGGCCAGCTGCCGGCCGCACTCCAGTGGGGAGAAAACACACCCGTGAACCCGCAATCGCACAAACCCCGAGCGCTGCAGTTAGCGGCGGTGCCCATACAGCGCGTTCCCGTGCATCAACACTCCGACTGATCCCAAATCAGACTCCTAGCCCACCATGAAAACGCAGCGGTTGGCCGGGTGCTGCCCTTTCCGTTGCCATGGCAGCGCCTACGGCCGGCAGATACGCCGGCACATGCTAACACACATCCATCACACCGGCATCCGCGAGCAGAAGTCTCTGTGGCCACCACGCCGAGAGAAAGCCAGAGCAGAGAGATAAGAGCAGTCACAATGGATCGATTTTACATAACTGCTTCTCTACAAGCTCAGAAGGCATGACAATAACACAAAATAATACCATATCTACTCCTATTATCCTCAGGGACAAAGGGAGCGAGCTGGGAAGCAACAATTAAGCGAGCCACGAAAGCGAGCTTTTGAATAGAAAAAAAGTTTTGCTTCAGTGTGTGTGTTGCCAAGACCCAACTCCAAAATATATAGGAAAAAATGAATAGATCTATCCATAAATGCAAGGCTGTCTCAGTAAATCCACAATCTGGCTTTCTCGGGGGGGGAGAAAAAATACGTTTTCATCTCATCAGCTGTATGTGAGCGAATGGCTGAAGAGGATTGAGACATTTGGCAAGTTAACAATAAGGGCATAAATAGTAAGTTTGGTTTCATTGAGAGGTAAGGAGGAAGGATGTACGTCCAGGCAGCAGGTCCAGGGTCAGCCTCTCACTCCTCACGAGCTCGCACTACAGTGACAAACATAGTGTCGACGCCGTACAGCGTCACGGCGACTAACATTGAAACCAAATCGCACATTGTAACTCATTTCCCCCCCTGCGGTCGCTGCAGTAGCCGGTGTGGAAGTGCCATTCTGCCCCGCATGTGTCCGCATGTAAACAAAGCGTGTTTGTGCATAGACCCTTCTTGGTTCGGAGGCTACACTTCTCACACATGCACGCACACATAAATAACTCAGGAGCAAGCTAATCACACGCACTCGGAAAAGAGCTGAGCCCAAACATTTGTCCAATTTCCTACCTTTTGATATTGATCGGCAAGAGAGGGAGCTATGGGGGTAGAACATTACTTTGCTACCTGCTGACGAAAACACCCCCGGACACGTGCGCGCACACACACACACACACAGCATGCCGACAAGAGGATGGAGAGGCAGATATGAAAGAGCAGAGGGGGGTGGTGGTTATAGCTGGGGGGGAAAAAGAGCAGTGAATGAGATGTGACGATAAGAAGGCGAGAAATAGAAATATGGGTTAGGGGGAAGATGAAAAAAAATCAAATCTGACAAGCAAAGGTACTCGTGGAGACAGAAGGAGCTGGATGACTGGATCGAGAGAAGGCAGGAGAGAGACGAGGGCACAGGGAAAAAAGGGGATTATCCAAAATACCAAAAAGGAGTGAGTGAGGCTGAGAGAACGCGCGCACACACACACCAGCGTGTCCATATATTAACGCGCATTCAAACCAGTTTCTTCTCCTTCATCCAGACGTAAGCGCCGCCGAGTCTGCTCCAGTTAACACCTGAACAGGGGGAGGTGAAATCTAACGTGATGCCCGGTTATCTAGCGCTACGCCCCTAGACTCCTACACAGAGGAAGGCGGTGATGTTTTGCAAGGCCGCCACAGTAATCCACAAATACCGAGGCTCTAATCGGGACACAGATCACAGTGGAATGCAGTGGCACGTCAGCGAGCGAAGGTTATGGCGAACTCACACGCAACCCGCTTTGGGGAAGCTAATGGAAAGACAACTTGAGCTATAGGGAAATGAGCCGTTTAAGGACGAGTACAGTTGCTCAGTTTAATATTATACTAATAACATAATAAAACCACTATCTAATCAATAAAAGGACGTTTGGCGGTGGAGCCGTGAGAAACCGACTCACCTCTTGAGCCTCTAAAATTGTGGTCACGGCCGAGAAGAAAGTAAGACGTGTGCAAATTTCCACACTCTGGTGGAGGATTAAATAAGTCGCCTCTGGTTTGGTGTAACAGATGGCGGCAGGCTGAGAGGCAAGCTGGCGGTCTTGGGGCAGTGGGACACCAGAACGGCCTGGCAGGAGGGGTTGGGGGGTTTCATCTGGGAGAGGCTAGCAAGGTTAAGAGAAGCCATTCAATCGGATCCGTGCTGACAGAACTCAAAAGGAGAGGAGGAATTGGGGGGGGGTTTGTGGATGACTGGTGGCAACGGTCCAAAAAAACCTATTAATCGAGGTAAATCTAAGCAGATGAGAGCTTTTTAGTTGCAATACATCTGTTCAATTCAATTCATTTTATTTTATTTTGTATAGCCCAAAATCGCAAATTATAAATTTGCCTCAGGGGGCTTTACAGTCTGTACACATACAACATCCTCTGTCCCGAAACCCACCATCGGCACAGGAAAAACTCCCCAAAAAATGAAAAAACCCTTCCAAGAGGGAAAAAAAAGGGAAGAAACCTTAGGGAGAACGTCAGAGGAGGGATCCCACTCCCGGGATGGACAGACTACATCTCTATTCTAATATTGTACTTCACAACCATGTAGAAAAGTTGCTTAAATTCCCCCGTGGCTTGTGTCATCCTCTCATTGACCTGAATGAGGCCCTGATGATTCATTTTTGAGACAACACAACACACTTTGGCAGTAAACAAAAGAAGCCCCAACAATCTGCTTGATGTTTTGACTCAAAACAGTTAGAAAGATGCCACACAAACATTCTTTAGTGAGTACACGTATACAGATAAGGAACCGGCTTCCCATAGAGTCTAAGGCTCTGCAAAGCCAAACAAAGAGCAACGGAAATGCATCAGAACGAGGAAGACCAGAGAATCATCATGGCCACGAAGACCACATCCCTCCGGGGAGGAAGGAGGATTACGATAAGGACATATAATGAGACAGGTATAGCGTACACAGAGGCAGAATGGGCCCTTTTAACTCATTTCAAAACACTGAAATGACTGAAAACCACAACCGGTTCTGTGCCTGATCGGATTCCATTAAGCAGCGGTACTTCTTGTTATGTAAAGTAGAACTGATGCTTACCTGTTGCCTCAATGAAACGAATGCACTTCTCGATGAAGAGCGGGATGGGCCTCTCGGGAGTGACCACGGAGGTCAGTGGCATGCCAAAGTAGTTGCTCTCGATTGGTTTGGAGATGGAATGCCTGGGTTTGGATCGTGGTTTCTGGACAGATATGATGGGAGAGGAAGGAGAAGACTTTCAGGAGCACTCAGAGCCCAACTGTAACTGCATTTGAGTCTGATTGACATAGACTCTGCTGACATAGGCACACTTTTCCAAAATGGCAGCGGGCCTGGAGGGGAAAGGATCGTGAGCATGTTATAAAGTGACCAAAAACTTTGACTGACTGACTGACTGACTGACTCTCTCTCTCACACACACACACACACACACACACACACACACACACACACACACACACACACACACACACACACACACACACACACACACACTTTTAGACTGATAAGTAATCACACATTCCTGACTCCACACCCTGTTCCGTGCACAAACGAGTAATGTTCATCCATCATCTTCTTCTTTCTGTTGTCACCGTCCTTCCTTCAGAATTATGTTGCTCTTTCTGCATTCCAGCTCAGATAATCGTACTCTGTTAAGCATCGTTTAATTACTTTCCAACCGTTATTCTCGTGTGAGGAGACCTCTAATTCACTGCAGCAACGTTCTCGGCGCCTGCCTCGGTGAGGCGGAGGCATCAGCAGTAATTGTATTGCACTTTAATGCTGTTCAGCGGAAATGTTTTGAAGGCCCCATGAGGCCTGGATCTCTAGTAAGTTTGTCAGCCCCCCCGAGGCTCTGTGCTAGCAGGCAGGGTGCTGAGGTAGGGATGCACGGTTGGCTGGGTGTGCACGAGCGCGAGCGCGCACACACACACACACACACACACACACACACACACACACACACACACACACACACACACACACACACACACACACACACACACACACGAAAGGAGCCGAGGAGTGCTCATTAGAGAGGAGCCCGACGTGGCCTCTGCTCCAGATCCCGGCCTCGCTGCCCTGCAGTAAACATTTTCGATAGCACAGATATGCACACTCACTCACAGCGGCATTCAGGGAAATAACCAGGGGAACACTGGTTACGACTTAGTAGATGAACACAGAAAGAGCCGGGGAAAGCAAATAGTATTGAAAAAAAATAAAATAATAATAACACTTCATTGTGTCCTTTGATTGCATTGCATTATTTAGTATTGGCCTGATTGATGCCTGTTTGATGATTAAAAAAGGGCAGTTGCTACTTCCCCCGTCAACTGGGTGCTCAGTGTCAGGACAAACAAAGATAACACTGACTGGCTAAAGAGTCTGCACTGAGCTGCTGATGAAGGCTCCGTGCTGAAAAGCTGAAAGCCATCCAGGATAGATAACGGTAAACCCGTCCAGAAAATCAACAAATCTTGTCCACGAGGACCAACACGAGCAGATTCCCAACTGGAATTCCTTCATTTATCGCGCAGAAGCCAACTCCCCGTGGCCCTGACCGATCCGCCCTTTGATGCTCCCTTCCTCAATGTACACACATCCCTACACTTGTGGCTATTAGCTGAACACCTGCACGTGAAGTGTGTGTAGCCAGACGTGCACAAAACACCGACATGAGGCTATAATTGAATTTCAGGGGTAGTAATAATATATGTGACACTACCAGAACAAATCTGTGCTAGCTCCAAGTAGCAACTCATCATTTATTTGTGTCCTATCACACTGACTGTGTTGTGTATATGTATATACACCCACACACACACACACGTGCCCTATCTTAGTTAAGCAGACTGTCTCTGAACCCATCTCCCCCCCGCTCACCTCACCCATGTCTTCCACCCACTTTCCTCTCTCACTGTCTCATCCCCCTGTAGTTTTGCCTTCTGGAGACTCCTTTTAGTTTAGCTGACAGAGACGATATGTTGCCAGCGCTGAGAAGACAAAACAGACCTCAACCACAAAAGACAAACAAAATGACATGACACCACGATGAGTGTTACATACACTGTCGGCTCCCGAAACACAAATCTGCAAAAACAAAACCACTAGCCTGATCATAACTCTCTTTTTCTAGCATTTTTATTCTGCCAATGTGTTTCCCATTTTTATTTTCTCCCTTCCTCTTATTTTTTCAGTCTGAGGACACGAGACTGGAACTAGGTGACTGAGGAATTTAAAGCATTCCTCTCGCTGGCTGAGGAGGTTTGAAAAAAAAAAAAAAGAGAAAAGAGAAAAGCTGCAGGAAAGAGGAAATGTTTCCGGCCTCTCTCTGAGGGAGGCCGGGCGGGACAGAGACCCAGTTGGTCATTGCCCGAGGTGAAGAGGGGGTGAGGGTGGGGGTCACAACAGACTTGGAGTCTACTTTGAATTATTTGTTCGTACACGTCATGACTCGGAGTGATGGACAGTACCCTGAGGCACTGACTAGGAAAGTGTTTTCAGTGCACAAAACCAAACTGTCACTCTAAATTCAAATATCTTTTTTTGACCCTTGCAAGCCACTATAACCGGAACGGCTATTTCTATACCTGCTATGACACGTCCGAGAGGACCAAGTAACTGAAGAACATGCCAGTTAGGCATGTGAGACTGCAGCAGATTGAAAATGGACTCTTATCTTTGAAAGAGCTGCTTCAAAAAAAGTGAATGGAATGTGATAACTTGTTACAAACCACAATTAAGCTACAAAGGCTTTTAACATGACTTTTTAAAAGGCAAAAATCAGAGGCACCAATTACAGCGATGGTCAATAAACTGGTGTAAATTCAGCTGGTTTAAATCTTCCTGTGGTTTTGTTTTGAAACAAGCGTAATTATGTGTCATGTGATACCTTATTGAATGGCCTTGCCCGCAGGGGGTCAGAGCAAAAGGTCGGGTAAGAGTCAGAGCTACGGGCGCTTTTGCACTTGCTAATGAGGGGATCGGTGCAATGTATTGGTACCCCTTCCTTCCACACTTTTCCAGAAGCAGCGCTGATCACAACAAGTCAGTTGGTGCATTAAGGAAATGACGTTGTTGAGACGGTTTAGAGCTATGGGAGAACGTACAGGCACTTGGACATCACAGCGGAGCATGTGATAACATTAATCATCCCCCTCCTGTTCCACCCACCTGACAGCTATGGTAATTATCCCAGACGCAAAACACACAAAGCTCTAACTTCTATTCAGCTGACACTTCTGTACCACGCAGTGTGTGAGTGAGCAGCATACCAGGCCAACAGAGTAAGGTCAAAACTATCGTCAGACGTGTGAGCAAAGAGCATAGAGACAAACAGGAGAGGGGTAGAGGCTGTGGGTCGACGGATTCAAGGCCCACATAGTTGAGGGCGGCTGAGGAGCAGAATGTATGAATCAGCAAGAATAGAAGAAAAACACGTAATATGAGCGAGGGAAAAGGAGGAAGCAGAAAGGCCAAGATGACAGGGAAGAATTTGGCATCTTAAGAAGACCCAGCTTGGCATATATGGCACAATAGTACCTCCACATTGAACAGTAAACCACACTGCCTTCACCTGATGTCAATCACTAGATCATTAAGGGCAAACACTGCACCTTTGGCAACTAAGTTGTAAACAAAGATTCGTCCTAGTACTGGCAAGGCTTAAAGCAAGGGGGCTGCACAATAGGGTACTGTAAAGTATAATTGGGGGGGGGGGGCACTGCTGCCATTCTTGCATTTGTTTTGGCATGTCGGTACTTTTGTTTGCTGCACGCTGCAGCAGCATTGTTTACAGCACATTTGTTGAGGGTATAATATTTGTCATGCATCTCTACAACAGAAAATGACAATGCCGTCCAAATCTTGCTAAAATCTATAAATCAATCGAACACCATCGGAAATCTGATGCAACTGGGCAGACAGACAAAATGACTGCGTGCTACTGGAGTTTGTCTCTTTTCCTCTGCTTATCTGGCGAGTTTAGAGCTCTCGCACAGCGGTCAGGGTCAAATATAGCAGACGTGCTTTTATGGGAGGTCCGACAGTAGGGCGTACTCAAGTTGAGGAATGGCTAATGATTTCAGTATACTCTTTCTACTCTCTGTAGTTTACCTCAGTTAAAACAATTGAGATAATAAGGTCAACAGTTATCCGCCAATTCAAAGTACTGACTAGTTGTACTGAGGATTATGGATTTTTAAGCAATTATATCAATAAACTCACAACATCCAGCATCCAGTCAGTCATACCTTCACAATTTGTGCTTAAAAATTGAATTTCCACTATTTAAACATATGCCACTATCCTGTATAAATAGTTTTTCACTTTCCAATATAAAAATATGCTGGAATTTAAAAAAGCACTTCAGCCAATAAAATAAAAATGATTTAACACTTGTTTTAGCAGCAGAGTTTATATTCAACATAACTCCTATTTCACAGAAGCTTGCACCATCACTGACCTTTGTATTTCTGCGCAGGCTCTTGAGAAGATTTCTTCTTTTGGGATCCTCAATCTCTTCGATGGAGTTGTCTTTTTGGGCTCCTCCCTCATCCTGGTTAACCTTGGGCGGACCCCCCATCTCGTCATCACTGCCTATCGAGAAGCTCGTCCTGAAACTGCTGAACTTGCCAAGCCGTTTGGATCTGTCTCTGTAAAGCTTGGGCTTTACCCCGATGGCAGACAACTTTCTCCTTCGTTCCAGCGAACTGCTGTCAGCCTCACTATCGGATCCATTCCCCCCAGCACTCCCGTTAGAGTGACCTTTGTTGGCATTGCGGATGGTGATAATCTTGCCTTGCGTGCTGTCATGCGGGACAGAGTAAATGCTCTCCGCTTGTGTGGGTCGAGGTTTGCTCACTGCATCCATTGGCTCTGCGTAATCTGAGGGGTCATAGCCACCGTCGCTACCTGGAGCCCAACTGACAGCCTGGGGCAAGGAGCGGCGGTTGGTGCCCCCCTGCTGATCCATGTAGGGGCCGAGATTCACCTTACGGACTGGCTTGGGCTTCACTTGTGGAGGAACCTTGTTGTTCAGTTTGCTCTCAAAGGTGCTAAGCTCAGCAATGACCGAGAAGGTATCACTTGAATCCAGCTCTGGCAGCTTGAAGCTTCCATGGTGGGAACTGAGGCTGCCGTCTTCCCTGAGGGTAGGATAAGGTGGCGATGGATCGATGTCGTCCTCTGAGTCCAAAAGGATATTAACTGGACTAGGAGAGCCACAGTGAGGGCTGCTGCTCTCATTTGTACATGCCTCAGCCACATTATCATACATGTGTGTGGCCTCAACGATGGTGTGCTTCTCTAACGCCTCTTTGAGAAAAGCTTGGAAGAGGTCTATCTTATGAAGCCCCCCTACAACCCCACCATGCCCACATATCACTGTGTTGAACCTGGCCTCTATTTCATGGGCAAGTTCCTCTCCCTGACTGACCTGCTCCTTAGCTGACTCAGAGTCTGACAGCTCCATTTGGCTTTCTCCAACTGCTAGCAACTGCACTGGGATGATGTCTTGGACCTCACACAGGAAAGCACATAAGGTCTCCATAGAGGCCTTGCGACGAGCAGAGTAAACTGCAATATAGCCGTGTACCAGCTTGGTCTTGCGAAGTGAGAATGAGGAATGAAAGGAGAGCAGTGAGAGCTCAACATTCTGTCTCTGACCTCCTATACTAAGATCCAGCAAAACTGAGGTGCCACTGCTGAGGTTAGTAGCAGGACGACAATGCTGGGGCAACAGGAAAGGAGCCAGCAGCTGGTCAATGTCGTACGTGTCTCCACACATCAGGCACATGACTATCCTCAGGTCTGCCTCTAGCACTGGCTGGGACTGAGAGTCTCTGAATGTAGAGGATGGAGGGGGTAAGGGAGGGGAGCTGCTCCCAATGTTTCTCCGTAATTCTAAGAGGCTCTTCAGCATCTGGTTGATCTGCCTCTCATTGACATTGCGACCATAGCCAACGCCTGGAGAGGCGGGGTCCAAGTAGGAACACTGCAGCTTTCCAGCCACCTGCTGCCCTTGTTGGATAAGAGTCTGAGCCGTCTCCCCCCCAATATCCCCAATGGACCCCACTCCCCGCTTGGTGACCAGAAGGAGGGACAGTGGGAGTTGAGCTAAGCTGTTTTCCCTTTCCCTTCTGCTTATAGTCGACTCCTTGAGCTTCTCTAAACTCTCAACAACATAAGAGAGGGATTCCTTTGAATTGTACAGACACAGGCAACCATGAGGTGTAAAGGTTGGTGTATGGAATGAATTGACCGGCAGACGTACATTGCCCTCTATGGGACGAAGGGCTAACTCATACATCTTGCCATCCAACACGTACCGGTCGTCACTGGTGCACATGGCCCTTATCTCATTTGCCATCTCTCTTGCTAGCCCATCTTTACCGAGGATGACAAGATTTATCCGTTCGGCCCTGCCCAAGTCCAGTCTTGAACTATCTGATGATGGGTAGCGGGTAGGGAATCTGGAGGCCAGTATCTGCTCGATCTTACTGTCCACACAGTGGGGATTGTTGGGACAAGTGTCCTTTGTAGGGTGGTAGACAAAGTGGATATGTTTCAATACAAGAGCATCCCTTTCTGCATGCAGCTTCTGCAAAGCTTTAAACCTTTGCTCCTCACCCAACACCTCCTGAATGGCTCCCATTTTCTCTTTACTTGGCTTTGCATCCACTTCCAGCTCATAAAAGAGCTCAGAGTATTCAAGAAGTAGTTCCTGAAAGTCCTCTTTGGCTCGGTCAATGATTTCCTTCTGGTGTTTGTTGTAGATGTCCAGATATTCAGCCTCATCCAGCCATTGGTAAAAGTCTTCATTCATTATGAAGCTTCGGGCCTCCTCCCAAGGTTTCCCTGGTGTGATGAAAGGAGATACGCTTAGCTTCTCCTTGAACTCCCATCTCATCTCAGCCCGCTTGCGTTCATTTCTTAGCTGCTCCAGGTGGGTTTCATAGATAGCTTCAGCTACGGGAGTCTCCAGAAGGTCTTGGGGGATTCTATCATCATCCATGGCGTCAATATGTGTTGTGGTCTCCCAAGGTGTGTCATCCAGCACCACAAACCATTGGGAGAAATCTCTCTTCATCTCCAGGACTTTCTGAACTCCAGACCAGCTCAGGTGGTCTATCTCATGCAACTCTGGTAACAGTACAGACAGGGCCTGTGGTAGAGTGCTAAGGTAGGCCTTTCTACGTCTCTCTATATGATCTTGTTTGAGTCTATGCACATGCTGCTGGAAGAGCTTCTTGGCTTTAGCGGTCCCCTCAAGGAAGACATATTCCTTGTACTCGGCGGCTGACTGCATGCGGCGACTGACTGCGGGCCACGTCTCATTGTGATTCTTCACGATTCGGTTGACCAACCACTCATAGCGGTCTTTGGCTGAGGCGATCTGTTGACTCTGCTGTTTCAGTGCCTCAAAGTAAGGGATGATTTTGGGCTTTCCCCTGCTCTTGTCAATTAGCTGAACCAGTGTCAGAAAGGCAAGTTCAACATTGACATTAGATCGTGCTGATGTTTCTACCACCTGTAGGTTCTTCTTGGCAAGGGCAAAGGTGTGTGAGTCTTTAATATAACGCTCAACTCCTTCATCACATTTAGTGAGAACCAGTACCACAGGTTTCTTCGTTTTGGCTTGCTGGTTGTACAGGTTGGTAACAAACTTCATCTGGTCCTCAAAGCTCCGGTTCATACCCCTGCTAACATCCACACAGAGTAAGAAGCCATCCACATTAATCTTTCCTTCGGGCATCTGTTTCTGATCAAAGTCCTGCTCCAGACCCAGCTGATCCGTGCAAAAGTACATCAGCTTCTCAGCCGAAGCCAGCTTGGTGGAAGCTGCCCTCTTGATGTAAGGCTGGAGTGCCGTGCTTCGGTGCGGCTGGAACGTCTGATCATCAATGAACTCCGTTTGCTCCACCACATTCATACGGCATTCAGGCCCCTCCTCCAGCACCCGCACGGCCTCTCCCCAGAACAGGAAGTGGTCATTGTTTACCACACGGCCTCCGAAGTCACTGGTGCTGAGAACGGAGGTGTGGTCTAGGTGGAAGTCATCTGCACTTGGCCGAACAAAGCGGTTACAGAGGCACGATTTGCCAACACCACATTGGCCTTTCTCCTTCTCCGTGCCGGACAGCCCAACCACAACCAGGTTGTAGGTGGGTGCCCGCGCATCTTGCTTTTTGGCCATTATCAATGCTGGCAGAGGCTCATCCTGCCATGCAGGCCAGTAGCTCTAGGTAGGAGAAAGGGCTGCCAGGACAGAAGGGGGTTTCCATGCAAGATGACCTCAGCGGGCTGGAGTTTGGCCCTGCATAACAGAGAGAAAGAGGGAGAAACATGGGGAGATTTATTTAATATTCAGAAATACAAAAGAAAAACATGACAGGCTTTATTATTAGAGAGCTATTGTGTCACTCTAAATTCCTTCTATGCGTCTGTGTGCCGTTAATAATGTTTAATCTGTGATCCTATTTCTCTAATGAATGTTTCCTGAAAAGATTGAGGTCAGTGGCAAAGCTGCTGGAATGCTGCAAACTACTTAACCCAGCTGTAGCTCAGTAAAAAGCAATTTTACCCTATTTAATTGTTATACTACCAGGACAGCACTGCTACCTTTTATGTCGAGTTATGTCGAGCTTTAGGTATTGCACAAAACGGACATACGAATGTGCACAGAAAGACGCGCACTACCACACACTTGTGAAAACAGGCACGCTAACCTCCCTGCACCCAAAATGAAAGACACACAAGAAGATGAAAGCAGATAAGTGATCCAGAGCTAAAGTTACTAATTGGCCAACTAGGGAAAGCCATCTGCATTTTAAAAGGCTGCACTGCCTGTTGGCTGACTCGTCTCCATCAAAAACATGTTTTCCTATGTTTCTCACTATACAGCACTCTACAAAGAGATCAGAGTTGGCGGATGCATCAGTAATAATGTCTCGACGTATTTACCCACAGTAGATGAAGATTAAGGAAAATATGGTGCCAATTTGTGGTCCTCATCAACAACGAACATTCAAAGAATATCCAAAACTCATCTTTCGTCACACACAGCCATCGTTAACTGATAAAGCCCATTTTTTTCCAAAGGTAGGCAGATGACCGTCAATCTTTATACTATATGGCTGCTTTTTATAAATGCAGTTTTATTACGTAGTTAGTCATAGAGACATAGATGGAGTGAGTGTTGGTAATAGGAACATTTCCTTCAAATGTATTTTAATCTACATTTTTGACAGGATGTTGGACACACAACGAAAAGAAAGATTCATTCATAGAGGTCTACTTATTAGACTGGCCAATCTCAGTGGAATTTATTCCATCAGTAGATAACCCGGCCTAGAAATAACGAGACACGACGAGGGGTGGGGAATGCTCTTTATGGAATGGCCCTCTCTGACAGCGCAATTTGTAAAAGGAATAAAAATCTTTTCAAGATAGACAGTGAACAAAATTGCAGTACAAGACCATCCCCTCCATGTCATAACTGAAGTGCTAATGTAGTAAAACAGACATTAAAACCACTATTAATCACAAATAGCTATTGTGACAGAGCACAAAAGCAGACAAAGCCTTCAGTGCTGCTGAACCGTCAGACAACAGAGAACTGTGGATGCGCAAAGATGAACTTCAAAGCCCAGCGCTGCTATACCAGAGGGCGAGACAATGGAAAGGAAATGGTGGGAGGAGTAAGAAACTCACTACAGTAGAACAAACGGTAGATGAAAAGCAAGCTCGCAAATGCGGTGTAACAACTTCTGCATATACTTTACATAGCAGAGGTACTAATTGAAGTTCAAAGCGGACAGCTATGGCCTTGAAAACCTGAGTTTCAATAAAGAAAATTCTGATCAGACTATGAATTAGCATTGAAGAGGCGAGACGTTCCGGGTGCTCCACCAGGTGTATCCAAGTGCCAGAGGAAAAAGGAATTGACATCAAAGAGAACGTCCAGAGATGGACTGTATTAATAAAGACAGATTTTGTGCTTGGCAAGACTTGCTGGTCTTTTTCAAGCAGCTATTGTCTGTGTGTGCGCAAATACAGACAACATACAGCTGGAAAACAGTAGACCGTATACATGGTAGTATATACAGCCTCGAATGCATTGGAATACACTGCAGGTGAAGTATCTGTAGAGCTGGAGTCAGCAGGTCAAAAGCACACCTGTGTCCTGACCTGGTCATGTTTACGATACAAAGCCGACAGGCCAAACTACAATCAGCCACAAAAATATGCAGCAAAAGAGAACATATATCCAGCCTGTAAATTCTCTTTTTTTAAATATACTGTATCCACATGACACCTGTGCAACACAAAGACCAAGTTCACAGGCATCACAATATTATGAAAGTCACTCGATAGATGTTTCATGATGACATCTAGCAGAATTCATTAACAGTTACTCACTCGTTTCTCATTTCGTTATCATTCGCTGCGTTCTAAATTGCACTTTAATTTTGGAAGTCTACCAAAAGCTCTCTGCTATTGCGAAGCTTGCTGTGACCTGCATCTTTGCACAGACTGAACTGTTGTTACGTGCTCAAAGTAGCTGCTTACTCAGCTGACACTACATACAGAGGAGGTATGGAGGCCCTGGTGCGGACCCACACCGCCACAAATGCCTACATGACTTAACTAAAGTGCTCACACACACACACACACACCAGCTGCCTTTTCATCCTATGTAACAGGCTGGTGATGAGCGTGTCCTGTGTGAAATGGGTCATGCCTGTGACCAGTTATGAGCGTGTCTGGATTAAATAAAGTCAGGCACTCCTTAAGTCCCTATAGACCTGGGGGAGGGAGGGAGGGAGGGGGGGGGGGGGTTGAGCCAGGCTCAACATGCTCACAAATGCAAGCTAACATCTCCTTCACTGAAAGAACCCACCAGCAGATAATGGAAGAAAATAAAACGTCTCATCATGAGACCGACTGCACCGGCAAAAAACTCACAGAAAACACAGAACATACAGTATATGTGACATTACAACATAGGCTCGTTTTGGACAGTCGCTCTTACTGGTAGTCGAAGTGCCGCATTTCGTACACAATAGATCCAGTCATTTAGGGAATACATTTCCTCTTTCCGGAGACCTATAAAAACACCACTGCAGAGCCAGACTCGCCTTAGTGAAGCAGTCCGGTTTGTGGAGCACTCAGACAGCAAGTCTCTCCCAGTTCACCCAGAGGCCTGGTGTCTGGTGCGCATGTCCAGCAAAATACCACCGTCTCGAGGCCCGTGGCAGTTTAGGCAGAGAAAGGTTAGGGACGGCGTTGGAGCTGTCTCTTACACGGAAACGTTAGGGTAAGCCGAATAGTAGAGAGAGAGTTTGAGGAGGTGCAGGAAAGAGGGGAAGGAGGGGGGTGAGGGCGGGAAGTTAGTGCACATGGAGAGGATGGGGGTATGGAGAAGAATGAGTATGAGGAGAAGGGGAGAGGGGTCAGTGGCCCGGGTCACGTCAGCTGCACATTGGAATCCCCTGAGGGAAGAGGGGGGAAGGGCGTGGTGAGGCCTGCCTGAGTTAAGGTCTGACACTTCACATCTCTCTCTCTCTCACCGCCCCCCCCCGGCTATTCACAAGCAGCACGACCGGGAGCTCTTACCCACATCTCCATTTCCCTGTTGCTTTTCTCCATCCTCTCTCTGACAAGCATTTTCAAATCTATTGCTTCAAATAAAAAGTCTAAAACACAGTTATGATAGAGAAGCTTTCCCTAACTGAACCAGCCATTTCTAGGTCACTGACTGCGCCCTGGACAAGAGAAGCCAAGGAAGAGAGGATGCATGTGTAGGGTATTGGAGTGCAGCCCGAAGCTAATGCTGGGGCGGCAGGGCGTGAAGTTCATCATAACACGTGCTAGAAAAAGGGCAGCAGGGAAGAGGCAGTGACCAGAGAGACCATGTAGCCCTCACAGGGTTGGAGGAGAGGGGGGGGGGCTGCATTCCTTTCACAACAGAGCAAGATGGAAGAGTGAGTCAGGGAGTAATTATCACTAAAGCCCGTTTTGACGTACCAATGTAAATTCTTATCGCCGTGATGCATTAACCTCAATGTAGAGTGAAAACCCAAGTCAAGGAAAGTGGTTTTGAGGGGACCCTGTAATTGTAAAAGATATATTTTCCTAATATAATTCTTCAATACAAAATCAAATGTATGTGGGGGCGGTGAGGGGGGTTAGAGATATCCAGTGCTGGAGTCAATCCCCGACACTATGACACAACTACCAAAACAACATATTTCTTACAGCATGCAATGGAGTTTATAATGAAAACAGCTAAACAAGGATAAACGCGGGATATTGCTCGCAAGGTTTCCCGGCAGAGCCCTCTGGTTGCACAGTATTATGCACTCAGGCAGGCTGGGAGCTGTCAGAAACAAAAAGGTCATGAAATAGTCATGAAGCTGTATGACTGTGATAATGACTGAGTGGCAGCGAGGTGGAAAAACTCTCGCTTCCCTTAAGACTCTGGACTAGCTCGCACTCCCTCCCTGCAAAACATGTTTTCCCTCCCCTTGTTACTCCCTTAGAGGAGAAAGGCCTTCATCCTTTCTCCTCAACCATTTTATTTTTCTGTCCCTCCTGCGCTCACCGCAAAAGCGCTTTCCTCGTCTCTCCATCCGTCAAGATTTATTTCATCGAGAGCCTTCGTGTCTCCAACACTTCCCCTCTGTCATCCTCGCCACTTATTCTCATCTTCTGGAGATTTGCTGTCCATTAGTACAAAGCTAGGGTCGTGGGCAGGGGATCGGGCTGTGGGTTTGGGGTCAGAGAGTGCTTTCTTGCTCATGAAGACCAGAACTACATAATGCAGACCATATAGCACATAACCGCAGACGCACACACAGCTCCAAGAATATTTTAGCAAAAGTTCTGCCTCCGCACCACATTTAATAAGCTTTACATGAATAGTTAGCGGTTTTATTGTAATAAAGAAATACATTTACAGCACACAACCACACTTTCAGAAGGTTGTCATTGACCTTACGCCATGTTTGCATATAATAAAGCCGCGTTGCCCACTGTGCCTGCTCACTTTGGTTGATGCAAGACCGTATTTACCGTGACCAACCGAACCTCATGACCAAATCCAACGCAAGTAACAAAATACAACGATAATACTTTGACGCGACGCACCGGCGCACCTTCCATTCATTTAACTTTTATATCCCCATCAACACATAACAGGTAATAATGCAGCAAACGAGCCATTTTGCCGGATTGGGAGTGGTGCTGTCCGTGCCAAGAGCATGATCCCATGGCGTTGGAGTTATGAGCCCCCGCGGATAACAAATCCACCCC